CGTCAGAAATTCAGCGGGAGTGGGCGGTAATGGTCAGAAATTCAGCGGGAGTGGGCGGGAGCGGGATTAAAAAAATAGTCCCGCGCAGGGCTCTACTCCAGACTGAAGCCAAGCATAATTACATTGCAGTACATTATAAATGAACATGGGCACTAACTGAAGCTTCCGTTGAGGTGACATAAAGTTGGGAATTTGTCCCACTGGACATCATTTCACAAAGCTACCACCACCCGTTCAAACCCTCTGTGAATACATTGTCGTTTTCCACCCCACCCCTGCACAGAAATGGGACGAGGCTTTAGCCAAGAGTGCCAGAGCCTGGACTCGGACCTGCCAGTTTTCCCATAATCCCCTGCGGCTCAGTCAAGGGAAGCTCCATCCTGAATTCTTCCCTGTGGGAGAAAATATGTGGGTGGGTAGCCCAGTCACCTTCTCCCCAAAAAAGACTATCCAACACTGGCACAGCGAGGCCGTCAACTACACCTACTCGACCATGAGCTGCCTTAGAATGTGCGGCCATTATACTCAGGTACAGTGTGGGTCCTGCTTTCCCACTACACCTGCTTACCCTAACCAGCCTTTCTGTGAGTTTGTAACATGAATGCTCACACGTGGCAGGTGGTGTGGGCAGAGAGCTATAAGGTGGGATGTGCTGCCCAGACGTGCTCTGCAGTGAAGGACTCGCCCACCACTGGCAGTGTCATCATCTTCGTGTGCAATTATGGAAAAGCGTAAGAGTCCTATTCGCCGCATCCGGAAGGTTCATAAACACAATATTGCTGCTAGTAAGTGAGTGGTGGCTTAATGGTTAGGAAAGTGCACATGTAATTGAAACATTGCAGGTTTGAATCCCCGACCAGCAAGGCCCCACTGAGGTACACTGAGCAAGGTATTGCCCCCAAGCACTGCTGAATTAGCTGCCCCCTGCTATGTTACATATTGGTTAAATGCAGAGGACATATTTTGTTGTTGTGGTGTGTCAGCAGTGACTGCTGATTTCTAAATTCTAATTGCTGATACCCTTCTATCTGCCCCTCCATCTTCCATACCATTTCTTTATGGTGAGTCTGGAGTCTATCCCAGGCAGCACAAGGCACAAGGCACAGTGCACCTCAAGCAGGACGCCAGTCCAGCACACACATATTCACAAACAATGGGCAATTTAGAGACTCCAGTGCACCTAACTGTGTGATTTTGGTCTGTGGGGAGGGGAACACATGAATTTCCATTGCTCATAATATCCTTATTTAACTTTTTGTAGAATTAAGATTATTTTAGAACCATCAAGTCTTCCAAAGTTCTTGAAGCCACCATATCACTGGATTGTGTTTCCATAGCAGATGTGTCCTCTCACTGCCTAGGGGCAACAGGAAGGGAGCCCCCCCCTACAAAGAAGGTGCAGCCTGCAGTGCCTGCCAGGGAGACGAGTGCCAGAGCAACCTGTGCAGTGAGTCTTTATCGCTTCACTCAGCCCACCTGAAAAGCTATTTGGTGACTTCTGTCAAACACCTGGTGTATATCTTGTGACGGTTTAGGTAGATGGCAAAGAGGACGCTGTCGCGGAATCAGGTGCAGGTGACTCTTTAATAAATGAGCGAAAAACAGTCTGAAGACCAGAAGGTTTTTACTGGCAGATGTATCGCTCAGGATAAACAGAAGGAGCAGGCTGGATCGTAGTCGTGGGACAGGCTGGGGTCGGGCGATGTACGTAGTTGGTCTTGGGGGCTGGGCTGGTCTCGTAGTCGGGGTACAGGCGGAGGTCAGGCGATTATTATCAAAGGGGCTGGACAGAAACTCGGGGTCAAAACGGCAGAACAATGGTCACAGAACACGGAGAGACAAAAACCAGGAAAACGCTCGAACTCAGGAGTAAATCTTGAAGATCTCGCATCAGGGTGCAAGAACCGATAACTAAAATAGTCTCCCTAATCTAGAAATGATCTGTAACAGCTTGTGGTAGGTG